CTCTCTCCCCCTCTCTCTCTCTCTCTCTCTCTCTCTCTCTCTCTCTCTCTCTCTCTCTCTCTCTCTCTCTCTAGTTTTCACACATCACAGCGGTGTTGGTGGGGTTATTAGCGGTTGTGGACAGACTGGACCCAATTCCCTTTTTTTTTTTCTTTTTTTTTTTTTTGGTGCGGGTCGCCGATGACCGGTACTGACCAGCTGACCGGTTGGCTGGTCGGCAGCCGACCAGTCAAGGTCCGCCGGGGTGTGCAACACTGCCTGAGTGGCCCAAGCGGAATTTTGTCTGGTTAAGGTAATGGACTGTAAATCTGCTGGTAATTGCCGGTGCTAGTTCGAATCCAGCTCGGCGCAGACCGAGCTCTATGAACGACATGGACTTTATCATATTGAAAATGACTTGCCCGTGGAAAAGGGATCGCATGTCTGGAGATGGGAATGATGGCATCGAATCAGGCCTTGCTTCTGAAGTCCTTCCCAGGCCCATCTCCACCTTCTCTAAGTACATTCATGAAGAAGAACTGACTGCTGTGAATAGCATGGTGATGAAGTTTTTTTACTCTTGTTTTCTCTCTCGGAAGGAAAAATGAATTTTAAGTTATAGAGAAGTCTGGGACTGGGACTGGGACTGGACATGTTGACCCTGGAAATGAAGCTCAGTGCTTGAAACAGGCGGCATTTGTCCTCCTTTTTTTTTTTTTTTAATCCCCTCCCTACTTCCCAAACGCAGCAGCTGCAGCCCTCCGGGTTCCTCAACTCCCCTTCAATTCTTCACAGGAGAAGCCTCCAGAAGAGAGAGCCCTTCACTTAACTGTGGATTATGTTATACCGATGACAGTTTGGACTTTCTACTTACTTACTACGTTTGTGCAGATGTGTGTGCCCATTCGGCTATGATGGCCAGATCTAAGGCAACTACAAGATCTGTTTCCTTTTTTCTGTGTCATTTTACTCTTCATCATCTCCTTTTCTGCGACTAGTCAAGAGGGTAGTTAGGGGCTTGTGTGATTGGGTGCTGACTGCCAGCTAGACACAATAACAGCACCTGTGAACTGAGCTTCGGTTCCTTTTTCTCTGCTTCTGTGTAGGACTTTGAACGCTATGTCAACAGCTGGATTGCGGTGACGTGCCCATTCGGAGGTGAGCTTGTCAACTCTTTCAGATGCAAGGAAAATGAGCAATAGCGAATTCCTGAAAACCAAGCAGCATCATACACATGAAAGCAGATAGTCATGACCTCGAACCAAAAGCAGAATTGCAACTTGAGTTCCACCAAATAAGAGCACAGCAAAAGCTCACAAATGACAATGTTGGAATAGTCTCATCATCATTAACAATGAACCAATGCCGAATCCCTATCTGGCGCTCAGCGCCCCGACTACGCATGGCAGATCCTATCTAGCCTATCTACAATGCCGATGGTGACGTCAACAGCTTCCCAAAGTACGAGCAGATCTCAGCCATTGCCGTTTGCCTCGTACGCCTCAAGCACGAGCTATGTCTCACGCTTCACTCACAACCTCGATCCCCCACACAGATGCCACGTGCACCCAAGGACCACCATGCGCCCCATCCAGCTATGCGCAGGCCAGCTTGGCTATGGCTGCCTGCTTCTTCCCTGATCGTCCGTGAGCGCGTAGACACCCGCTCCAGCAGCTGGCGCAGCAGCACTTCCGCATAAGTAGCGAGTGCCCGAATGCCAAATGCGGAGACAGGCAACTTCCTTTATGGAAGTGGCCTGCCTGCTACCTGCTGCCTGAGTGCGCTGGGCCCCTGCCCAGAAGCTTCCGGTAGGCCCCAAGTGCCTGAGGCCAGAGTATTCCGCAGGGCCCCGGGTGGTTACGCGTGTCCAACTGCCAAGCATGCTGCGTGCAGTTTGGGCCCCGTGTCTGCCCCAGGGCCTGTGCCCAAAAACATAGGAAGGGTATGGCATACTGCGTAGCCACACGGGCCCTGCAGGGCCTGTCCCGCACTTTCAGCCTAAAAGCCTAGAAAGTAGGGCTTACAGGCCCCGGTCGTTTCAGCCTGAAACTGAAAAACGAGGGCCTGCAGGCCCTATTCCGTTTTCAGCCTATTTCTGGGCCTTTCAGGCCCAGAGGCTTTTCAGCCTGAAACGGAGGGCCATTCTCAGGCCCTCATAAGATCGACCTACCCTAAACCTCAGGCACAAAACCAGGGTTTTCGGAACAGGCTATCTTTAGCCTGTTCCCACGACTGCCTTGAGCAGGACCTGCAGCGGCAGCCCCTGACTGCCTTTGGCATTGGCAAGAGCAGCCTCCTGGACTGCTGCCTCGCCTGCAGCCAGTCCAGGCCGAGTAGTACATAGGGGTTTCCCATGCACTTTCCAGGTAGGTAGTTGGACAGTAGGACGAGTAGTCTTCAGGATTCGGTCGCGGCACTCAGGAGCGCTGCCAGGAGTAGCTTAGCGCTAGCAGTAGTCTTCAGCGCTGGGCGCTAGCAGCCATAGCAGTAGTCTTCAGCGCTGGGCGCTAGTACAAGGTAGTGGTAGTGTGGGGCCAGCGAGACTTGCCTGTGGCGCCATAGCTCCAGCTCCATCTTCGAGGTACCTGCATCAAGGCGCCATCTTCACAGGTTAGTACTGGACACAGAGAGAGAGAGAGAGAGTTCTTCTTCTTCCTCTTCTATGTCCACCATCTCTTCTTCCCCTCTCGCCACCTGACTTCTCAGTATCAGCGGACTACTACAGGGAGAGAGAGAGTTGTGACTTGGGACTTGGCGACATTGGATCCAGACTCGACATTTGGGATTCAGACATTTTGACGAGGGACTATTTGGGCCTGTGCCGAAGACTTGGTGTTGACGACATTCCCATCTTCCCCTCCTCTTCGTCTAACCCCCTTCTTCTTCGTCTGTGTATGGTTGGGGCTGGCGCAGTCTTCCTGTRTGAAGYRSYASACCCCTTTCACACCATGGAACGATGATGATGATGTATRTTCAGGGCTGCATTGCAATATTGATTGTTTGGATCATTGGTATCCAAGTCTTCCACTACGCTATCTTGTTCGCAGCCCGTCAGGGATGCGTTTTCCCCCCCTGAGATTTTCAACGTCACTTCAACGTTCAACATCCGTGGTCGTCGGGAGGGTGGGCATTTTGAGGTGTTGGGGCTTTCAAGGGCCAGGAAGGCGAAGGACCGGTAGCTCCCCGTAGGAGGCCGAGGAGGCCGCGGACCTTAAGCCTTTTCCGAAAATTGAAACGGTGCGGGTACACTCTTCTGGACTCGCAGATTTCCTCGAGTAGAAAATGTACACCTTGTATTTGAACACAACATGTACCCTTTCTATTA